CTAGACTCATTCTATGGGTATATTGTTTTTTGGCTGCCCAACATTTCGCCCTACCTATAGAGCAAAGCTGGTCCCACAACTGTCCTATAGAACTTGCTCTTTAGCTTCATTGGTATATAGTGATCACATAAAATTTCAGTTGCACATCTCCACTTTACCCACTTAGCTCTAATTCTATGTGCGACATCTTCCTCAATCTCTCCAATTTCCTGTATTATCCACTGGCCGTCAATCTTAACTGCTTCTTCATCTCTACTCTTATTATTATTATTAAACTTGCATTCCATATACTTTGTCTTAGTTCGGCTAATTCTAAAACCTTTGAATTCTAAGGCAGCCCTCAAAAGTTCTAACTTTGTGTTCACGCCGTTTGGGTCTCATCGATCAAAATTGTCATCTGCGAACAACATGCACCACGGTACCTCATCCTGTAGGTGTCTAGCTAAGTCGTCCATAATTAAGACAAAGAGGTACGGGCTCAATGCTAGCCTTTGATGTAGACCTATTGTCATTGAAAATTCACTTGTCTCTCCACTAGTTCTACACTAGCTAGCGTTCCTTTGTACACATCTCTCACCAAATCGATAGTGTCTGGAGACTCATTTCTTTTCCAACACACGCCAAATCAAATCTCGATGTCCTCTATCATAAGCTTTCTCTAGATCAATAAAGGCCATGTGGAGGTCTTTTCCCTGTGCTCTAAACTTCTCAATCAGTTGCCTAAATAGGAAAATAACTTCAATTGTTGACTTTCCTGAAATAAAATCAAATCGGTTTTCTGATACACTCGTTTCATGCCTTAGTCGTTGCTCAGTCACTCTCTCCAAGAGCTTCATAGTATGGCTCATAACTTGATCCTTCGATTGTTCGCACAATTCTGCATGTCTCTTTTATTCTTGTAAATGGATGCCACAATACTTTTCCTCCATTCGTTTGATATTTTCTTTGCTCTCAACACTTTGTTGAACTTTGTCAGCCAGTCAATGCCAATCTCCCCCATGGACTTCCAAACCTCTATCGGGATACCATCTGGTCCTAAAGTCTTTCCTGTGTTCATCCTTTTCAAAGCTCCTTTCAATTCTAACATCCTAATCCTACGAATGTATTTATGATCTCCGCTGTCATTTATACCAACAGTTACTTCTTGTTACCATTGAGTCCCTCCTAAAAAGTTCCTCTCTCCATTTGGTATGTCTTGGATTATTCCATCTATGTCCTCCCAAAATTCTCTTAATTCTATCATCTAATTTTACTTGTGATGCAAACTAATTACGTTAATTATCTCTTCTTTTAATACAAGTTTAATTAATAAGAGCTTATCACTTATTCTTTTGATATTAACTACTTCATCTTTTAAGTTTTTGTCTACTATTATGCCTATGCCATTTTTGTTATTATCCGTTCTTGTATGCCAAAGTTTATACCTATCTATTTCTTTAGCTTTTTTTCTTTTGTAGACAGGCTATGTTTACTCTCCTTTGTATCATTGTATCCACTAACTCCATACTCTTACCTGTAAGCGTTCCTACATTCCTAGTGGCTAGACGAATCCTATTATCTTGGACTAGCTTCTTTACCCGCGTTCATTCAGGATGTTGCTGGAACCCTTGCCTATTTTTCATTGCAATCAGACGGTGTTGCAGCGCGTCGCTTCTAGGGAATGCCTTAGCTAACCCTTGCTCATTTCTCACTGTACTTGGGTTTCGGTACAACGCGTTGCTTCTGGGGAACACCCTAGCAAAACGATGAATTGATGACTAGGGTACGGACTATGAACTAATGCTCTAATATGTATTGATTATGGAGTAATGGACTATGGATAGGCTATATGTTATATATTTTTAATGTGTTATGTGCCTCAATATGCATTTTCTAGGTTTTACACAAAATTTGGCTCTAAAATAGTTGGATCAGACACCCTCCTTTGCTTTTTTTTGGCAACCTAGGTTCTGGGCAGCAGCGTAGGTGCTGGGTGGCGTAGACCCCCTTGGTCGTATAGGTGCCACTCGATATTTTTTGGAACACTGGTGTCGATTAAACATAACAAGGTGAATTTCTCTTATAGGTAGTCCTCCACCATCCATTATTGATAAAGAATGATGAATTACTTGATACCATAGCATACACTGCTTGTGTATGGTAGGCTTTCTAAATTGTTAATATGTGATTTGAAACATCTATCTAATTTTTGGATATGTAATACCATCAGAAACATGATTGGAAGACATGAATTCTTTTCCTTGTGTCACTTTGTGCCTGCTTGTCCATACTTAATTGGTTGTGTTGATGAGTTGTTTCTTCCTCTTTATTCATTTCTCAGCTCCTTCATGTTGAGCTGGCCCATAATGCTAAGCTTCAAATCCTAGACTTGGGGAATAACATGATCAGGAAGTGGTCCAGTATAAAGGTAAACCATTGCCCATTTTACTTGGTTTCAAAGTCTTTAAAACTTCTCATACAAGCTTGTCATTGGAAGCCTGGTTGAATATCCTTATATTTGGCATGTCTGAAACTAATTCATCTTTACACCATGTTTGTATAGCAGGTAATTTCCAATTTACATGACCTGAAGAATTTAAATTTGCAGGGGAACCCCATTGTTGAGAAGAGTAATTTGGCTGTCAAGGTGCTGCTTTTCTCTCCTTCTCAAGGCTTTTGATATTATTCTTTACCATACTTAACTCTAGCCAAAATAACTAAACCTCTCTTCATTCATTTACTCTATTTCTTTTGAACATATTACCTTCTTTTTCTCATAGTTCTTTGTCAATAGTGTCTGAATAATGCATATTTTGAAGTCATCTTAACTGAGTGGTACTGGTACTCCTAAAATTGCATGCAGGTCCATAGGAAACTCCCAAGTATTCGTATATTCAATGGCCACCCTATCGAAAGCACCATTGCAGACCCTAATCTATCTAAAGAAACTATATTACAAAATCCTGACAAAGAAGCTGGTTCTAAAGAGGAGAAGTCAAAGAGAAAGAAGTCCAAGAAAAATGAGAAGTTAGAAACTGAGGTAATTGATGATAGGGATAGTTCATTTGTAGATATAATTGTTTCTAAAAATCATGAAGAACCTGAAGAGAGTGAAAAGAAGATAAGCCACAGGGGGGATCTCGAAGTGAAGAAAGATAGTGGGTTGGTTGCTGTTTTGCAAAAGCAAAAGAAGGCCAAAAGGAAACACGAGGTCAAGGGGAGTGCAACACTGTTGGTTGAGAAAGAGGAGATTGGAATGGGCGGGCCATCATTGTGGGATAGCTAATCAAATGCTTGCCTCTCTCAAAAACACGTGTCTTTCAAACACATTCACATGCTCAGCGTGTCTGCACACAAGGTGATATATCTGGTGCAACCTCTCTCTCTCTCACTCTCGCTATTGCTCTCAGTAACTTAAGATTTGAAGACCATGGTGCTGTATTCTTATTGTAGGAAACTCCCACTAATACTAGAGATCGACCTCAGCGTTGGATGCGCACTTGTTGTGTGAAAGAAAAAGGTCTGATGCCTTGCAAAAATTGAAAAATATTTTGAAATTTATTATTATCTTTTCATGAACTCCATTGTTATTCCTTTATCAATGTCCGCTTTGGGATTACCGTACAGATGAAATGGAAGAAAAGGCGTTAATGTTTTATGGACTTTTTTTTTTGGGCAGTTTAATGTGGATGGGGCTTATGGTAGGAATAGAATTCAAGACATTATGGTGATCTACATAAAGAAGTAATTTGGTGAACAGAAAATGGATTGATTAAGAAAAAGACCGAGAAAACTTGGTCTAATATGGGAGAATACAATTTTTTTTGTTTCACTTATCCTTGGGATGGCCGAGGGTTGAGGTTCAATGTGAAACAAAATTTTGTTTTTGTTTGCCAGAGAAACTTTGGCTACATTCATGAGGCAACAGTGATGGAAAATAGTGCAAAAACTTGTAAAAGTAGGCATTAAAAATGGAAGCGTTTAACAAAGCTACGTGTGGTGCACATATTGTGCGCTGGGTCCAAAGTTTAGAGACCTCAATGTCGGTTCGGCTCTCCAAAGTTAAAATTGCAAAAGAGAAGTCTGTCTTGCTTAATGAGGAAGTTGTTTGTTTCACGTTTTAGTAGTTTCCTCAAAGCTTTTGAATTTTAAAAAGTTTAAGGCCTTAATTAGTTCAGCGGGGATATCTGGTGGTCCTGCAGGTGACACATTGTGTATTTGGCCTACAGCCATTCCATATTGGTTACGAAACTTTGTGCGACCTTTGGTTCTTGTTTGATAACTTCAAGTTGGAAGTTCCTTGGAGCTGGGAGGTGTAGATTTTCAGAAATTGCACTTTCTATGTCTGGAATTTGCACATGGATCTACAGGATATTTACGAACTTTTGAACCATAAAAACTGGTGGGAATAGATTTTAGAGCCATTATAGGGGTTTTCTATGGGAGTGTTTTTCGGATGAGGTTTTGATGTGAGGGTTTACTTTTGCCATATGGAAATCATGTCCATTTATTAAAAAGGTGAAGTTTGTCGATTGAACTTGTCTCGTACAAGTAAGGCTGTATTAATTTACATTGTCTATTTTATTTGAATATTATAGATTTTTTCAAAAGACGTGCTATTTTTTGAAATACTTTTAATAATATGTTAAATCTATATTGTCTAACTAAAATAGATGGGGTAGAGCACTACAATCTTATGTCTACAAAAAAGGCTGCATTCTTATCCAAACTAAAACTACACCTTTCATTAAATGAATGATGGTTCAAAGTTGTAGGTTGTCATGGCTATCTCTAGATCACACATTATATGTCATCACGAAATAGACAGGTGAGAGCATGTATGGGTATCTAAATTTTATGGTTTTGTTTATTAGATTGAGCTAAAATTTTAGACATCCACACTCCTCATCATCTTCATGCACTTGTATAAAAGATAAAAGAGATTTGTTAAAAAATGGCTAAAATATGTTTGGAGGGTATTTTGATCATTTGATTTTATTTGAATTATTTTTTGTGTTAGATAGAAATGCACCTAAATGAGGTACATACACACTCTAAATTTTATCTTAATTGGAAAAACTAAAAAATGGATGAAGGCAAGGACAACATTTTTAAATGACCAAATAGTCCACATTGTAGTTTATTTAAAGGGTGCGGTTTGCATAAGGTTGCATCATTAAACAATCAAAATAATGCGCACCTCCAAATTTTGTCGCAAGGTGCAATTTTGGTATAAAAAGTAATAGTATGGCCTGAAAATCTATTTTCATATCTAATTATAAAAGTTTAAATGGAAAAAATGGTTCATATCAAGTAGATCTATAAACACATGGAAATCTTGAAAATGGACAGTTTGGATAATGTATTGCACGCTGCATTATTTTTTGTGACTTGAAATCTTTTTTACTTTTTCCTTTCATTTCCATACATCTTGATGTTAAGATAATCAATTAAAGGTTTTCTAATATCAAAATAGTTGTTTCCGATGGATTTTGAGGTGCACCGTAATTCTACAATTTAAGATTGCACTTAAAATGCTGTCAAGCTTACTATTTGATTTTGATTGGTCGATTGAGATTATGTTCAATCTAACTCTCATACACCCCTAAAAACAATATAAAAAATATTTCTAAAAATAATGTCCAATCTAACTCTCACACACCACAAAAAGAAATATAAATTTTTGTTTAAAAAATAAATGACCAAAATTCCCTTATATTTTAATAGCTTTTTCGAACATGCTCCAATGAAGGGCACAAACCCCTCAAATTTTATTCAGATCAAAGGTTTAAATAAAATAAAAAATACGAGCAACAAATAAGAAAATGATACCCAAGCCTCAGATTATATAAAAAAAAGATGGAATATTGAGAAACTATTTATCTTTCTTAAAGAGAGATTACAATTACTCCTAACCATTATATGTTAAATTTGAGGGCTTAGATTATGCTATAAAATTCTAGAAATTTTATTTTGAATTTTAAATCTAGTAAATGACTTGTTTACAACCACGAGATTTGAAATTTAAAGGACAAAGAGTGACTCCGGATTTATAAATGCCACTAAAAGTAAAAAGTGCGGTTCATATAGAGCTGAGGCTCTAAACAATCAAAGTAAAGCACACCTTCATATAGTGTCGATGTGGTTTCAATACTGAAAATCTTTGTGATAGCCTTAAAATATATTTTTATCTCTAATTATAAAATTTCAAGCTTAAAAAATAGTATAGATAAAGTAGATCTAAGAAAACTTGAAAATCTTGAAAATTAATGGTCCAAAAATATATTACAAGGTGCACTATTTCTAAAACTTGAAATCCATTTTTTCTCCTGTCCATACATCTTGATGTTGAGATGATCGATTTGAAGATAATTGAGCATCAAAACAACCTCTTTTAATAAAATTTTTGAGTTATGTTGAAATGTAATTGTTTAGAGCCTTAGCTCTACATAAATTTTTTCCAAAAGTAAATGATATTTCCGTACACTTTTCCTAAAAACATTTTAGTAGAGTGAGACTGGCGAGCTCTGACACCTTTACAAGAGGACGAACGGAAACAAATAGTGCTAGGAGTTCCGGTTATTATCAAACCACGTTTTTTCTCAAATCGCATGTGTTAAATCTATCACTTTCATATGAAAAGAACGAGAAGAAACTTGAGTTCAATTTTCAAAATCTGACGTCCATCTTAGTTTAGATTCCTCCTAAAAACGTCGATTCATTCTAAAAAGATAGAATGGGGTTGAGTTATTGTCGGTTTCCAGTCTCACTAACCCTTTTAAAAAAATTTTCACTAATACTTCCAAGAAAATTTAATGCTTTAATCCTCACTGACATATGCCAAAAGATTCAAGCCAACATATTTTCTCAAATCGCATGCGTTAAACCCCAAATTTTTGGTAATGTAACCTCTTCAACCCCTAGATTAACATCGAAATAAAAAATTTCTTAATTACACCCTCTATGCAAACATACCTCAACGATTTGAGGGTCAGATTTAATTGTTTCCCTTTAAGAATAATCTACTGATTCTTAGATGGTTTTCAAAATTTACCATGGAAAAAATCCTCCCAAATAGGTTTTTTAATGGAGGGAGTAAATGTACAACATAATACTGCGCTCGCGCTCTAGACGCATCGTTGGAGGTTGATTGACTTTAGGCGGTTTTTGACCTACACAGCCTAATCGATCCAGGTGTGAGAAGATCTTTCAGCAAGGGCAATGGTTACTACAAAATTTGATCCTCTTGGTTCTCTCTCAAACATGGGAACTCTCTCTCTCTCTCAGCGTCCATCAAACACACTTGCAATTGAATCATGGAACAAAATGTAAAATTTACTCTCTCTCCACATAGGGGTGGTACCAGATCGGGTCAGGTTGGACCAGACCCAAATCTAGATCTGAACATTATTTGGATCTAAGTTTTGGTCCTAAGCGTGAGCCGTTGGGTTCAAAAGTTAGACTACATACCTGTACTTGTCGGGTCCTGGGTCTATCATGTTAGATCTTAAATCTGATCGCGTCCATTGCCACCTTCACTATGAATTCCATTTTTTTTTTTGTCTTTTTTATTTTGACAACAAGATCACATTCACCTGCCTTTAGATTTCAAACCGCCTTAATTTATCGTTTAATAGCTAAAAATGACTACAAGTTCTTATTGTATAAAATCGTTAATACATCCAAATGAATAGGGCTTGAAGTATTTTATCTCCAACAGTTTACGAATACAGGTCGAATCCAATTGACCCAGATCTGAATAATATTCGGGTCTAAATTTTAGACACGTATCCGACCCGCCGAGTACAAATGTTGGACCCATGCGGGTATACCTCAGAGGTCCTTGGTCAATTGCCAACCCTATCTCCACAAAACCCTAAACCATGGAAGCAAATGTACAATTTAGTTTCTCTCGTTGTGGAATGTGGATATACGCAGTTCTTTATTTGTTTTTGAAATCAACTTAAATATCCTCCATTACCATGTAATGTGGATGAACCCAATTAAAAAGATAACGCCATTTCTCTCTCTCATCAAGGCAAAAATCCTTTAGCAATTATGTATTTTTCAACTGGCATCACTAACACCAAGTTTCAAGTAATAATATTTTACAGACCTAACTTCATCACACTCTTTACTAACTTTCTCTCTCCTCCTCCCCATACCAAACCTACACCAAAAAAAAAAGTCTCAAAAAACAAAAACCCATTTATTTATTCATCTGGAAAAAAGGAAAACCCAGAATATAGCAAAGGCCAAAATCCCACTCATGACACATCCCATATCCACCCTGACCTCTGTCCTCACCTTCTTTTCCTTCATTTCTCTCTCTAACCTCACAAAATCCTCATACACTCTCTTCACTTCCTTGAACCCTGACTTCCTCTCACTGCCCAAAGCAGCTCCCAAAACCTCCAACCCCTCCCTCCCATTCAAGCAACCCCCTCCCATTTCTTCAACCTGCAAGCTCACTTCCTTAACCTTAACACCCACTTTCTCTCTCTCAAGAAAACTCTCCATTCTAACCACCACACAGCAGAGAGAAGCCTTCACTCCATCTCTCAACACGACGCAGCCGAATCGAGCAATGAATTCTCCCTCGGAGAACCACTGTCGCGAAACCACCAACGGCTTCCAGCTCGATAAATTCGCCGATTTTTTCGTCACCCCATCGATCAAAATCCAGCTCAATCCAAGACTGTCCTCCAAATCCCTGCAAATCTCACCGAAGAGATGGCCGGAGAATTCAATTACAGGCTGGGGGTCTGTCGAGTCCAGGGCTTGAATGGAAAATGGGGAGTTTAGAAACCATGGAGAGTCAGGAGTGGAGGAGGTGAGGGTTTTCGAGAAGATGGGTTTTGTGTTGTGGAAGAGATCGACGGCCGCAATGGTTTCGGAGGGGGAGAGAGGGACAGGTGAGATTGAAGAGGACGGGGAGGGGGAGAGGAGAGGGAAAGAGGAGGAGAAGAAGGAATGGTAAGAAGAGATGAGGGGTTGGAGAGGGGCAATTGAGGGCCACAGAGATAGAGAGATGTTTTTCCAGAGAGAGAGAGAGAGGGCAGTGGAGTGCAGGAGAGAGGAGGATGCAGAGGCAGAAGCAAGAGAGGGACCATCTAAACGGCTAAGAATTTGGCCTATCAGATCAGGAGGGAGGGTAGAGAGAGAGGAAGACATGGACATGGGGTTTAAGCTCTGTGAGAAAGTGGAAAGGGGGATGGATATGAGGGTTTATATAAGGTGGGAAGTCGATAGATGGTGCACGGATTCTGGTTTTCTTTGTAATGGGGAGGGGAGGGGAGGTCCGTGACTTAGATATCGATTGATCCAATCCGATGTGGATTTGTTCCCACATGCTTTCTATACCTATCTCTCAAAATTCTTTGAATGTTCTTTCTCTCTCATCGCCAAGTTGATCTATCATCCCCTAAAATGTCACTTCCTTTTTATTTTTTCCTTTCTGTCACTCTTTAAGTTGTCCTACCCCCCAAAATAAACCCAAAATAAACCTTATTTTTTTTAATGGTTCGATTTCGGGTTTGTTAAGCTATTGATATACATTAATGTATTCAACATTTTTGGATACTTGATATCATTATTTTATAATATATTAACTTTCTATCTAAAGATATTTTAAATAATTGGTAAATAGTAAACTAAAAATTGTTACTAGAAACAAAAATATTTGTTAGTTATAGTGGACCATGACATTACATACATGATGTATGATATTACCAACATAAAATATTAATTGTTTTTAACTATTAATATAAGAAAACTTATTTCATACGGGCTTAACAACATTTTTTATAATATTTAGT